CAATTTCCTCTCTTGAAGGTGGTTCCGTGACTATTGGGAGGTCATTTCTGGCTGGAAGAATTTTCCTCAGAAGCAGTCGACTGAAAACAATTATACACAGTGTTACAATTTAAAGAGAACTTTTAAACAAACCACATCTTGAATAGTCAGAAGGGTAACCTATGAAATAAAGACTTTGGCTAGTTGACATTCTTTGCAAGTCTAGTTCATATTTACCTGTCCAGCTATATAACAGTCAGTTTTTCAAAAAATAATATAACTTTAATCATATAAAGAAACAATTAAATAAGCAATGTTTTCTAATTATTTTGACACAATTATTTTGTAACGAGGCAGGCTAACTGAAGCTTAAAAATCTTTTGGCTTTGCGATGAAGTACATGTATGTGTTTACTCAAGTATGGTACTTCGGTGGACAACAGTATTGACGATTCTGAATCAAATTCCTAGTACCAACATAATAATAATATGTTCATGAACTTGTGTTGTGTGGTGAGTTTTTAGAGCTCTCCTGCCACTTGGATGGTCCTATATTTGCAAATGGACGTTAAATTGTAGTTTCTGCATTTAATATTTCAATGACAGTAATAACCTTCATTTTTTTAACGAAGTATCAAATCCAAATCATACCATTATCATACCACAGCTAAAAGTATTCAGTGAATCACTCTACAATATTATTATCCTACCCCCTTCCCCCTCCCCCTCCCCCCTCCATGAAAATAAAAATTCTGACACCTGCACTGTACCATTATGCCATAACAAAACACATGTAGGCCTACAACAAAAGAAGACGACTATCTTTGAAAAAAAAAGTACAAGTTTCGGCATTGGCATTGCTTTAAATTTGAAAGACACATATCATCAGACAGTACAAACGATATAATAATATGAAACGGTGTGTTAAGTAGATTTAGTTAAGGATGGATGATGCTATGTAGATTAAGGCAAAGCATTAAATCAACCAATCAAATTCTTTGGTAAACAGGTCAACCAGCGTCTTCGATATACCGGCCTACCGAAGTCTTCAAGCTTACCGATCAAAGTCTTCGACTGACTAATCAACTAAAGTTTCCTTCTGAAACTGGACAATTATTTCAATGATTTCAGAATGAATCCACGACATGCACTTATACAAGGCAAGGATAATTAAAGTGGACAAGCAAATATCTGACATTATATGAATGTAAATTATTGCAATTTTAGATGCTTAACATCCCCATCAACACAATTTCGA